GAGGGAGTTACCTCAGGCGAGGTTGAAGTTATTCAGTCAGAAATGTGTTAAGGTTTTTTGTAGTTAAACTCTCTCTCTCTCTCTCTCTCTCTCTCTCTCTCTCTCTCTCTCTGCTTTTATAAACTTTATTTTATTTTTTATTTCAATCCTGACCAGTGGCCTTCTCTCAACTGCCTCAGCTGGGCTGAGCTACAGACACCCAAAGTTTTTGGTTTGGTTTCCCTTTTTTGTACTTAGCCAGGCCCCGGGTGAAGCGGGGATGTCCCCTTTCCATCCTCTCCGGCTCCCCAGAAGGCCAGTGTGAGGGAGAAACCATGGGGTGGCAACAGTAAAGGAACCTACTTGGCCAGTCGCTGTTCACCCCCTGGCATGGGGACCTTGGAGCCAAAGGGCCTCAGAGGCAGGCTGCTTCGACCCTGAGGGCGCCTCTTCCCTCAGTGATCTTTCAAAGACCCGCAGGCCTGTCTGCAAAAAGGCTGCCTATTTATGAAGCTGGGAGAGAGAGGGGTCACCGGACCTGTTCCGAATGGATGCCCTGCTGCCTTCGTGGAGCCATGCTTCTTCCTGCCTCAGTTGCTTTGAGCTGGGCAGTGACTTTTTGTCTACCTCATCTAAATCTCCTGCCAAATTTCAAAACATAATTTCATATATCTATATATCTATGTATCTATCTATCTGTTTGCCCTGGTGACAAGTCCAGTCCAGCTCAAACCTGAGAAAAATCAATTCCTAGATGGGACTTCTGAATGTTTAGAATGTGCATTTGCCCTGTTGAGACTATAAACATTCACACATTTATAAAGTATTTATTAAAGAACAAAATAACAGGCAACTCTATCTGCTAGATCAGGGGTTCAGAACTTTTTTTTCAGGGGGGGAGAGCTGCTTTGAAAGCATATCATGGTCATACTCCAAAAAGTAGTGGATGGGGTCATAATAAAAACTACATTTCATTCAATCAATATTAATAGAATTAATGGTGGTATTTGTGCAACATACCGTAATTGGGTCGTGGGTCAGTATGTCACACAAACAGGAAAACTGGGTCAGCTGATGCAGCCAATCAGTTCCAAAGAGGGGAAATTTAGTCCTAAGCAGGTTAAGCAAAAACCCTTTCTCCCAGATGTCAGCACCTATAACTGTGGATTTGGTCCACCATCCCCATTTTGAGCTGCAGACTGCATGACTGAAAACATCTAGCTTGATCCTAGGAATCAAGTCCCAGGGAGGCTTCTCACCTTGCCTAGTACCCTATCCTGCATGGATCATGGACCACGCTTCCGTTCTGTGCAGGTCTGCAGACTGCCTCCAGAGTCTTCCACAGAGAGGGTGGGGGTTCAAGAGAGGGCAAATGACAAAAGCAGCATAACAACAGTATAACACAAGGACACCCCTTTTGTATATTCACTGTGACATTTCTCCTCAAAAGGGGTGGAGTTTGCATTAGGCTAGCACACTGCTGCTTTTGCTACAGTGATGAAAGCCTGGATCCTGTGGACAGCTCCGCCTGTTTCTGAGCTCCCTGGTGGGTATAAATCTTTCAGAGGTGGGGGAACCGGATTTATACAATAACACCCTTGAATGAAGAAAGTAGAACTCCTATTGGATAGGCAACACCCCCTCTTTTGGCTTTCTACCTTCTGGGTTACCTGAGAGCTCTGAAAATCATCCCTCCTTTTTGAGAGGAGACAAGCTCCCAACTTGCCAGGAAACTGCTACCTCACAGGAAACAAAGTTCAAGTGGCAAAGGTGTTGTGTTCACAACACAGTCTAATTAAGTCCCAGTATCATGTTAGCTGTTGCTCAAAACCCTTAGCCAGACTTTATATAGGCCCATTGTTGTTAGAAAAGCAAAAGCAGCAGTGAAGAGTTTGAGACCTCTGCTCTCCCCAAATACTATAAGTTCCTGAGTTGAAGACACTGCTTCAGGTCATGTGTATTTTGACCCTGGCTCTGTAGCAACTAGTAGCCAATGCAGCATTTTCAGCATAGGATGCTGAATGCATGGTGTACTGCCTTTATTAACCAGTTGCTATAGCTTCTGGGCTAGTTCAAAGGGCAGCCCAATATTAAGTAATGTTTCCAATTCTGAAATGATCGTGCATGAATAACCCTTATGTAAGAATGGGTACAGTTGGTATACCAACATAAACAGGTTAGCTGCAGAAGTCACTTGGGCCTCACTGACAATGGGGGAACCAGAACCATTCTTGAACCCACAATCTATTGCTTTGGGGGAATGCAATTATCCAGAATAGACAATTTCCCAGTTTCCAGATGAGTGGAATACTCACCCACAATGTAACCATTTTATTAGGTTTCTACTTTCTCAAGCAGCAAGGTAAATGGTCTGACTGGTATTGCAAAGCAAGAAAGCTATACAGTATATCAACAGCACAGTAATACTGCTTACGCCAAATCCTCTAAAAGCAGAACCTGAGGGGTTCATATATATATGTATGCATGTACTATATCTGAAAACACAGCAAGAACTCATTCAAAGTTTTTGAATAGGTTGCTACTAATAATACAATATGCAATACTCTAGTACCAGTGAAATGTAATTTTTCTGGACTGAGGACTGCTTTTAAATAACTACACCAGAAGTCACACTGCAATAAAAAAGTAGATGAACCAGGAAAAGGTTACACTTTTCAATTAAATCCTCTCTAGTGCCACCTCTAGCTTGTTTGTGTCTTTTTTCTGGATACTTCTCAATGGAGGCCAGTCAACACTTTCTTTTTCTGAGAACATCTACAGGACTGAAATGCGATGATCCCAGAGTATTTCCTAGACATGAACATGTTGTTGGAGGTTAACCCTTTCTTTTTTTTTTAAATTAACAGAAAACCTGACAAAATAAAATGAGGCAGCTTTGGACATACTGACACCCATGGGCACTGCATCACCAATCTCCAAGGTAAACTAACCACGCACTTACATACCTGCATCCTCCAAAAGTTGAAATGGTAGGACAATCCCCTCATCCAAGTGTACAAATCTTGCATATATCAGTGGAACTAACCCAACTACATTCAGATTATGGCTTTCTTTTTCAACACTGCTATCTTGTGACAAGGCAGAAAATCTCAGGCACTCTCTTTTCCTTCTCCCCCTGAAGGCTCTGGAGTCAAAGCTGATATGCAAATATAAACGGAACCATCAGAAATGTTACCTCCCCCCCCCACCTAATATTAAAAGCCTAACTTCGTGTTATATTAAACATGTATGGTATAAACTTGTACTTTTAATGTAATGCTAAGTGAGGTGGGATAATTTATAGTGGGATCAGAGGGCACAGAGAAGTCCAAATTAAAAACATCCTCATGCCAATATGAGCATTTTTTCCTAATGCTAACTCTGTGTGAGGAACAATTTTAGATAGAATCACAGAAGTTAATGGAAATGGCAAGTCTCCTTACTTTTCCATGTCCATATGAAAATCAATGCCTCTGCACTTATTTATTGAATTTATATTCCACTTTCCAAAAACAGTACATTTAATGTTATGTACAGCACAACTTGAAAAATCTTTTCAGAAAGGAAGTAACTTTTAAATTAATTCTTACAGTCATTTGCAAACTGAAAATTACAATGTATGTAAACAATAAATCCACATAACTAAGCACACGAGGATTAATTTTGTAGTACCTAATAAATAGTGTCATATTTGTTCTTTGGTTTTTTCGCAACATTTAAAAGATTAAAAAGTATAGCCAATTTGGGTATAAATTTCTTTATAACCCAGAAATGCTCCAGGCCTTACTTTCAACTCTAATTATTCATCTCTGTCTCTGCAATGAATCTATTGGTTCTCTGGGCTTCTAGTCTTCTGTTCTATTAACAGGGACATCTTATGTCCAATGTTGGCTATGGGGAGTGGGTCAGGAGGTCTGTGCCCATGCCAGTGCCCTGGCTTCCAAGGCAACCTTTCACTGAGTTCTGTGCAACTGACACCTGCAAATGTTACCCATTGAACTGGGCCTGAGGCTCCTTTGAGTTCTTGAAGCCACAACCACATCCATTTGGCCAATATTCATGTCTATTAGCAGGGGCAAATTTTGAAGAGACTTTGAGATGCGTTAGCTGCCCTGGACTGCAATTTTGTATGTCAGTCCTACAGGCAAGACCTGGGGAACTTTGGGAAGTGGGAGGTGCTTACAATCAAACATCTCAAAGTAAAATTTCCAGAATGTTTTGATGTAAGCAAAGTTTGGAAACTATACACTGTATAACTGATACACAGCTGCAGGAAGGAGAACACCTTGGGCCACCACAGGAACACATAGCAAGTAAATGTTGCTGTAATTTTATTCATTTGTTTGATTGATTTATGTTCCATATTTCTGTTCAGCAAGGTTGCTCAAGGCAGCTAACAACAAAAAGCAAATGTTGAGTTTAAAATAATACAATAAAAAGAGTGCTGTCAACAAGGCAGATTCAGAGCCTTCTTATGCAAAAGTAGTGTGGAGGAGAGAAGATTTCAAAAAACTCCTTAGTTCTAGACCCAAAGGATAAGCCTTACACAGGAAGGCAACACTGAGTTGTCCTGAGTGCCAGTTCAGCGTGCTGCATTTTGAATAAGCTACTTAATCACAAGACTATTTCACTACCAAGGAAGACTAGATTCCCACCTGCCCTGCTGTGGAGCAAGTCATTGAGGAGATCTAATGGCACTCTGCTTCCTTCGCAAGAGATTCCGAACTAGGGCTGCCGCAAGGAAAGCAAACTTGGAGTTTACAGTACCCAGACTACAAGAAGTCAATGGCCTGGCTACCTGTGGCTAGCATTCCTCCCCTCCCCACCCATCTGTCAAGCCAAAATCCGCCAGCGGTCAAGGGCGAGTGGTGGTAGGCATGACTGAGGAAAGCTGGCAGTTGGCAAGCAGAATCCCAACAGGCTGGCTAGCTGTTCCAACACAAAGTCATGGGCAAGCCCAAGAGGGGCCTGCTCCAGAGAAAAGCTTCTGGACCCACCCACCTACTCCACAGCCTCCCTACCTTGCAGTCTCTGATGCAGGAGCACACAGAATAGTCCTCGGCTTGCAGGTATTTCTCCAGCAAAAGCTCGAACTCCTCGTATTTTTCCTGAGCGTGTTGGTCCAGCCTTTGATATGCCTCCAAGCAGCTGCTACAGGCCTCCCCTCGCTGGGCTCCTGCCGCAGCAGAGAGGAAGTCCATCAGGAGGTTGGGCAAGCTGCAGTCCAAGCTTTCCGGGCCGGCCATGCCAAGCAGCAGGTCCCAAGCCGTGTAAGTGTCACAAAAGGGGAGGCGAAAGTTCCGAAAGTGTTCCTCCAAGAAGTCCAGCTGGGGGGAGGAGGCGGCCGCAACCGCGGCGGCCGCAGGGAGCCTCAGAGGCACGGCGGGGAAGGCGGCCAGAGAGCCCTGCTGCAAGAGGCGCCGTTGGGAGCACGCAGCGCTCAGGTCCAGGTGCCGACCTGGGGCGCCAGCGGCGGAGCAGCGGGGGTGGGCCGGCGGGGTGGGGCCCTCGCTGTGGTTGCGCGGCCCTCTGGCGAGAGCGGCCCAGGGCGC